AGTGGGGCTGAGAGACTTCAGAGAAGTGTGACTTGCCCAAGGTCACCCAGCAGCTGCATGTGGAGGAGCAGAGACGCGAACCTGGTTCACCAGATTACGAGTCTACCGCTCTTAACCACTACACCACACTGGCTCTCCGTCCAGGAGTCCTTTACCTTTTTACCTTTTACTTTGAGGGTTTCCTACAGGGCTGCCTTCAGATGTCTATGGAAGGTGGTATAGTTATTTATCTCTTTGATATCTGCTGGCAGGGCATTCCACAGAGCAGGTGCCACTACCGAGAAGGCCCTCTGCCGGGTTCCCTGTAACTTTGCTTATCGTAATGAGGGCACCTCCAGAAGGCCCTTGGAGCTAGACCTCAGCATCCAGGCTGAACAATTGGGGTGGAAATGCTCCTTCAAGTATACAAGGCTGAAGCCGCTAAGGATGATGAGAGGGAAGGGAGGTGAGAAGATAAAAGCAGTTTAGGTGCACCAGTGACTCTACTGGTGTTCCTGGACCACCTTGACTTTGCCAGTGCCCATCCCAGTATGCAACAGTAATGCTGTGCCAGAAGCCCAGGTCCTTGGTGTTGATCTTCCCATCCAGTCTCTCTTAGTGTTCTCCCCATATGCATGAAGAGGGCTCATGATTTACATCCATGCCGGAAAGGAAAACTGCTGTGTGTCTCAGCTGCACACACAGCTTGAAGATTCAAGGTGGATGCCCATAAAAACTGGCAAAGCTGATTGTCCTCTGCTTGGTCAACCACTTCGACAGCTTCCAAGACCGACAACCACATGTGTCTTGTGCATTCCTGTCCAGTGTAGCTTCCTGTTTTCAGCCTGCTGTTATTTATCGGCTTGTGATGGAGCTTTTGCTGGAGAAGGCAGCCTTGATGAATTGGCTCCTGTGATGTTTGGTGCTGCAAGAAATCATAAACCCATTGTTCCATTGAGAAGGTTGAGACATTATCCGGGAGGAAAATGGCCTGGTCACTCTTGCAAAAAGTAAAGAGATTTCAGCTTGGGGAGGGGCAGGGAAAGTCTTACGTAGGGTGAGCATAATGGGAATAGCGTTCCCCAGAGCTTCTAGGCACAGCTTGGAGGAAGGGCAAGGGGGGAGGGCAATAGTTCAGTGGAAGAACATCTCCTTTGTATGCTGATGTTTCCCGGTTAAATTCCCAGCATTCCCAGATAGAGCTTGGAATGCCTCCTGTCTGAAGTCCCAGATAACCACTGCCAATCTGTGTATAGGGCAGGTATAGGGCAGTATACAAATTTAAATCAATCAATCAGTGGTCCTCAAGCATTTTCAGGCCAACACTCCCTTGGTTCCATAACCTCATCTTCAGTGCCCCCTGGCACTGTGGTCTAAACCACTGAGCCTCTTGGGCTTGCCAATCAGAAGGTCGGCGGTTCAAATCCCCGTGACGGCATGAGCTCCCATTGCTCTGTCCCAGCTCCTGCCAACCTAGCAGTTTGAAAGCACACCAGTGGAAGTAGATAAATAGGTACCGCTGTGGCGGGAAGGTAAACAACGTTTCTGTGCACTCTGGTTTCCATCACGGTGTCCTGTTGAGCCAGAAGTGGTTTAGTCATGCTGGCCACATGACCTGGAAAGCGTTCTGTGGACAAACGCTAACTCCCTCAGCCTGAAAATGAGATGAGTGCCACAACTGCATAGTTGCCTTTGACTGGACTTAACTGTCCAGGAGTCTTTTAGCTCTTTTTACCTACAGTCATACCTCATGTTACGTTTGCTTCATGATGTGTTTTTTCAGGTTGCGTCCCGCGGCGACCTGGAAGTACCGGAAAGGGTTACTTCCAGATTTTGCTACTCGCGCATGTGCACAAGCACCAAATCGCGTCACGCACCCGTGCAGATACGGCGCTTTAGGTTGCGGGCTTTTCATGTTATGAATGGGCCTCCAGAATGGATCCCATTCGCAACCAGAGGTACCACTGTACTCTATTAAAACATTGTTCAGAATATTGTTGTTGTTGTTGCTGCTGCTGCTAATTAGATTTCTATGCCTGCCCGTCATCCACGGATCACAGGGTGGCTTACAGCATAAAAACACAACCATACAAACAGTAGCATAATAACAAACAGTGGTTTTTCTGGGGTACTCAAGGGTACCCAGTACTGACACTTCCCCCCCCCCCCAGAAGAATGGCACTGGTAACAAACAAAACAATACCCTTCCTGTTTAAAAGGCCGTAGATTGTTTAATATGACAAAGGCCTGGGAGAAGAGGGATGGTCTTGCCTGGTGCCTAAATATATGTAGTGAAGGCACCAGCTGAGCCTCCCTGGGGAGAGCATTCCACAAATGGGGAACCACAAAAAAAGGCCCACTCTCCTATTGCCACCCTCCAGACCTCTCGCAGAGGAGGAACACTTAAAGGGTGTCAGATGATGATTGTAAGGTATGAGTCTGTTCATATGGGGAGAACAGCAGGATGCACGAAGGAGGATATCAGCACAATTAAATACAAAACAGTAACAATTAATGCCACATTCACTTATTTAACATCCAATCAAAACTATTTTGTTTAATTAAGTCAATGAGACTGGTGAACTACACCCACTGATACCAGCTGTTATGGTTAGGTCTCTCCCACAGAAGCAAGACAACGCTGGCAGCAATTAACTCAGGTTTTATTGCTCAAAACACACAAATCACTCCGGAGCTCAGTCACTCAGCGTCGGCTTCCAAGTTTGCTGGTGCCAAGTATGAAGTACGCCCCTTCCTCCTCCCACTTTTAAAGCCCCCCTTAATCTTCCTTTCCTGTTTGCGCCTTTCAATAATCTTTGCAAGCCTATGCACTTGGGGATGGGGAATTCCTGATAGCCCTCCCTCTGAGTCTGAGCTACAGCTGTCAGTCTACATCTTCTCCCTTGAACTCCCCACTTCCTTCTCCTTGTTCTCAGCACTCAGGCTTCTACTGCAAATTGGCTGCTCCTCCTCCCTTCCGCATTCCTGCCAAATTACCTCCACCTGTCTCCCCACACTCTCCCCCTCCTTCAGCAATGGTATGTAGCTGACACCAGCTTTTCAATTTCTGGTTGTCATTTACACCTCCAGGGCTGCCCTGCTGCCCCCAGTATGTGGCAGTGCCCACTGTAGGAACCACTGGTATGTATTATGTACAGTGGTACCTTGGGTTACATATGCTTCAGGTTACAGACGCTTCAGGTTACAGACTCCGTTAACCCAGAAATAGTACCTCGGGTTAAGAACTTTGCTTCAGGATGAGAACAGAAATCGTGCTCTGGCGGCGCGGCAGCAGCTGGATGCCCCATTAGCTAAAGTGGTGCTTCAGGTAAAGAACAGTTTCAGGTTAAGAACGGACCTCCGGAACGAACTAAATACTTAACCCAAGGTACCACTGTATTGACGTTCTCACCCTGGCCACCAGGGGGTATTGTGTATATAGTTTTCACTCAGGTCCACGTAAGTTAATTTAGGCGGGAAACCCTAGGTTGTTGTCGTTACAATGTTGACAGCCTGCTGCCTATAAAAGCAGGCCGGCTGAGCTGTTTGCTGTTCAGTTCAGTTCCAGCTTACTTATAAAGAACTACTTGGAGAAATCTCTGTGTCATCTGCTATGTCCACCCACTACTTAATAGTATGCTAAACTAGATGGAACAATGGTTTGCAGCTTCTTATGTAGCGGACCCACAAAAAGGAGAGTGGCAGTCCTTGGGCTGAGTATAGCTTCTGAAGGAAGGGGCCCATTTAATTCACAGTGGGGAGAGGTAACAGACATATGAAGGTGGTTCTTATTCTCTGGTCTCCAGGGGCTGCTGCTCCCAAAAGAAGGTTAAAAAAACAAAACCCATTCGGATTGGCATCCAATGTCTGGAGGGCCACAGGTTCTCCATCATAGCTCACCTGTGGAGAATGCCACAGCTACAATCTGAGTATCTTCAGGCAACCATACAACGTTCTTTCACAGAGTGTCCTTTCCCCATGGTTTAGTTGGACCTTTGGTCACCTGGGATAACAAGCACTCTACAAAGGATGGGGGGGGACGAAAGAGATGTTAATTAACATGGCAGTTAATCAATAGTCTTCTGGGCATGATCTCAGTATGTAGCAGGAAGTTGACCTTCTTGTAGGCATTGCTTAGCAACACTGACCTGCCCTCAGCCAACAAAAGAATTTGTGCTGCAATGCTCAGAGCAGAATATTCTGATGCATAAATTTGTACAATCTATGGAAAATGAGCTGAACCCATTATCTGTCTCACGAGTTACTAGTTCTTTGCACAACCCTCTATGCATGCTGAAATACGATAGTGATTTCAATGTGCATTTCAATGGTTTCATGAGTCCCCATCTTGCAAGCTATTGCATAATACTCACTAGGTAGCATTGAGGGGGCAGTAAAATCTGAGATTGGGTTTAGGGCACACAACTATTTCTTACAAATTTAGGGAAATAGCATGGCTTATGCTGAGGCCAATCCCAGCGAGCCAAACAGGAACATGCCCTTGAACATGTCATGAGAGTATTGCAAGCTCCTGTTCTCCTTCCAACACACCTAAACTGTCCATCTCATTGACCACCCATTCACTTATCTGGCTTGCTGCAGAAAGGGACTGTAGCACCCCTGGTAGATCATTTGCCTTCCACGCAGAAGGTCCTAAACTCAACACCAGCATCTTCAGGTAGGCCTGGGAATTCTCCCTGACTGAAACCCTGGAAAGTCACAGCCAGTCAATGTATACGCTACTAAGCATGGTCTGACTCACTGTAAGGCAACTTCCTATGTTTCTGTGCTCATGCAATGGCACTGAAATGGAGGAGGAGTGCAGTCTCTCTACCGTCTTTCCTCTTTGGTGCATGACATGTCGCTACAGATCTGAGCCATGTGCCAGGAAGGAGAGAGACCAACCTTCCTTGCTCCATTTGGAACAGCAGACTGGTTATGTGAGCAGAGCGCATTTGTTGTACATTTTTCATACACCTGTTTAACATATTGGTAGCCTCAACATTACTGAGACCTTTGACGGCAATTGCTGATTTAACATAACTTAATTAGGAAGGAAATGTGATTATAATGAGATTACAATTCCTAATTAATTTCAGTTAATTAATTCAGTGTACCCTGATTAACATTGTGTGTGTGTGTGTGTGTGTGTGTGTGTGTGTGTGTGTGGTTAGCTACTCTCTACTGACTGCAAGAATGACCAAGAAGTACATATAGGAAGGTGATGGACTCTCCTTCATTGGAGGTGCTTAAATAGAGGTTGGGTGACCATCTGTCAGGGATGCTTTAGTTCTGATTCCTGAATTGCAGGGGGTTGGACTAGATGGCCCTTGGGGTCCCTTCCAACTCTACCCTCCTATGATTCTAAGTCAGGAACTCTTGGATTCTCTGTATGGCTGCCGCGTGTGGTGAACTGCTGAACTGCAAGTGACAGTTTTCTCAGTGAAGTGCCTTCTGGACTGACTCCACCCACGAAGGCTGCCCACTGGATCTTCCAGGAAGGAGCAAAGGTTTGAAGGACAGCATGGCTGATGAGAGTTGTCACCCAGGTTGGGAAAGACTGAAGCCCTAAGGTCTATTAAGCTATATGTTTTTGGACTTTAGGGACGCAGGTGGCACTGTGGGTTAAACCACAGAGCCTAGGACTTGCCGATCAGAAGGTCGGCAGTTCAAATCCCCGTGACGGGGTGAGCTCCCGTTGCTCGGTTCCTGCTCCTGCCAACCTAGCAGTTCAAAAGCACGTCAAAGTGCAAGTAGATAAATAGGTACCGCTCTGGCGGGAAGGTAAACGGCGTTTCCATGCGCTGCTCTGGTTCGCCAGAAGCGGCTTAGTCATGCTGGCCACATGACCTGGAAGCTGTACGCCGGGTCCCTCACCCAATAAAGCGAGATGAGCGCCGCAACCCCAGAGTTGGCCACGACTGGACCTAATGGTCAGGGGTCCCTTTACCTTTACCCTTTAGGACTTTGCATGGTTCTTGGAGAATGGATCCACTTGGCAATCCATCCAACAGTATTTTGCTCTCCCTGTCAGCAGCAACGTTTGCGTTTTGGACTCAATTTTTCACTCAGTGACTTTGTTGGAGAAATGGTTCCTAGACTGGAGGTCTCCCTCCCAGAAATCTGAAAGAAGAGGACACAGGCTCCAAGTGAAAATATAGGCCTTTATTAAATTGCAAATGTGCATAGAAACAGCCTCAAAAGGAAGGAAGAGGCTGCAAAGAACCACATCCAAAGCAATGTTTCTTATATGCTTGTACAACACATGTGGTTTTTATTTACCACTCAAACGATCACAGCAATCTTGATAGCTATAACTCAATATCATCATTTTGAACCAATCAAAGTCATTTAGCTCTTCAGCCCTAATCATAAGCTCGTGTGATTAGATATAATCATTTTTTTCAGTGTCTTTGTTTATAAAGACTTTGACAAGTCTTCCTATTCATTATATGTCTCCCAATATCCTCTTTCACCTACCTGCAAACCAGTTTAAGATGAATCACAATGGCCATGTCTAGCTGATTCTCTGTTCATGCATGCAATGCCCACCATAGATTCTAACAGTTTATTCTTTCCAGTGTTTCGGAACGAACATTTGCTACGTACAGTACCTAAAAGCAACTAGTTCTGCACTGTTAAAGGTTAGGCAGGCACAGGCCATTTCAGTTTAGCTAGGCCATAGGCTCAAAAGAACACAGAATAATCAAAAGGATACAGTTGTATGAAATCCTTATCTCCTCCGTCAGCTTCCTGTCTTGAGTTGCTTTGTAGCAGCTAGAGAATACCAATACCCATAAATAAATCACCATTGCAACTGGGGGAGGCTGATGGGTAAAGGTCACAAAATGTTTCCCTGCTGGAGTGTGAAATCTGTGAGAAGTTTAAACTCTGTCTGACTTGGCATCTTCTCAGCCAGAGAGGTGCCAAAGCTGAGCAAGGTTTGTGGAACAATGGAAGGTGCAGAGAACAAGGCAAAAAAAGTTATAGAACCTATTGCACTGCTTTTAGATGGGATGAGGAACAACTATCACTTTTCTTCTGGGCTTTTCTTGGTGCCAGGCAATGACCTTCTGGTTTTGTTTTTTTAAACTGTTCTTGCCATTCTTTTAGCATCTTTTGAAACCTTAAAGGTTTGTATTCTTCCTCTTAAAACCGGTTTAAAATATTGTTGGTGTCGCTTCAGAGTTTGGTTACTATTTGATGTCAGTGGTTTATTATTTTATGGTAGTAAGAAGAAAAAGAAGAAGAAGAGGAGGAGGAGGAGTTTGGATTTGATATCCTACTTTATTACTACCCAAAGGAGTCTCAAAGTGGTTAACCATCTCCTTTCCCTTCCTCCCCCACAACAAACACTGTGAGCTGAGTGAGGTTGAGAGACTTCAAAGAAGTGTGACTAGCCCAAGGTCACCCAGTAGCTGCATGTGGAGGAGCAGAGAGGCGAACCCAGTTCACCAGATTACGAGTCCACCGCTCTTAACCACTACACCACACTGGCTCTCTTAAGACCTATTTTGATGCTTATAGAAGTCACCCACAGGACCTTGCTGTTGGGTGATGGGCAATTGCTGAGTTGAATCCAGCTAACTGCTACTCAGAGGAGACCCTGTGACATCAATGGACCTAACTAAGAAAACAAATCCATTGATTCCAACGATTCGGTTCCGAGCAGGAATTACTTGGATGCAACATATAGTTGATAAACCGATAAGATCCAAATTAAGGGGTGAAAAGGAGGCAGGACCTGTATTTAATAGTGTAAATCACTCTGTGATCTTCAGATAAAGGGTGGTATAGAAATCAAATCAAATCAATTTTTAAAAAAGCGCAGGAAGGGAAATTGTTTGGCAGCTAGTGTGCTGCTGAGATGACAAATGGTTGGAAGAAAATGAATTGGTGTGTTTCCACATCTGGTACGGTTGTACTTCAAGTAGCAGGAAGAGGGGTAGTAGCTCTGCAATACATCTTTATTTTGCACTAATGGTATTTTGGGTGCTGCGTTGACAAATTAGATGGTCAGGGACTACTTCCATTTTTTGTTTTTCATTAGAACCCCAAGCTCCACCAACTAGGGTCAAGTGGCAGCTTAGTGGCTGAGGGAGACAGACGTACCAGCTCCTAGGAGTGGAGGTGTCTTCAGACCCCTCAATATTGATGGTGCAGGGGCGGATGAGCTGAGTGTGGCCTGGTTCAGTGACTAGCTCCTCTTGAGTGCTAGAGAGGAAGCCATGCCATGCTGGGATCCATGCTTGACCCCCCCCCAGTGATATGACATTGTGCACAACATGCACTGGGAGCATGACATTGTGCTCACGCTGCCCCACCCAACAAAACTTGGGTGCAAGATGGTGCCTCTGGGGGGAGGGGATATAAAATGAGGGAACTGGATGCCTCTCAGCACATGGCTCAACCCTATGCCCCCCCCCCCACAGTAAGCAGGACTGAACTCAAAAACCTCTAGCACAAAAATCCACTCCTGGTTCCCTCTTCCACCCCCCAAGCTTTCTTCATCTCAGCAGCCTAATTTAGACAAGAGGAAAATGACTTTTTGTTGCTGCCCTTCTTCTTCTTATTTTTTTCAATTTTTTTTATTAAATTTTCCAAATTTAAAACAAACATATCATCAAACATCAAAAACAAACAAACAGACATATATCCTAACTATAGAAATTCCACTTTTGTTAACATTGTTAGATGACTTCCTTGACTCCCCCTGGCTGAGTTTCCATATAAATCATTGTAGCAGTTTTCCAAAAATAATTTTTCATAAAATTTATTTAGTCCAATTAACATCTTTCTTTCTTTTCATTTTAACTTTTGTCCATAGTATTCTACAACATCACATATTTAAATCCTAGGCCGATTTGGTACTCGCAAGTAATTCTATTTACGTTATCTTAACATATTTAACTAAATAGTCTTTAAATTTCTTCCATTCCTCTTTATACTCCTCCTCCTTCTGGTCGTGGACTCTTCCGGTCAGGTCAGCTAGCTCTGAAAAGTCCATCATCTTCATCTGCCATTTCACCACTGTTGGTACTTCTTGTGATTTCCAATTTTTGGCCAGCAAAATTCTAGCAGCAGTTGTGGCATACAAAAACAATCTAGCATCCTTCTTGGGCAATTCCAAACCTATTATTCCAAGAAGAAAGGCCTCTGGTTTCTTGATAAATGTATATTTCAACATTTTTTCCAATTCATTATGTTGCTGCCCTTCTTAATAATAATAAATAATAATAATAAATTTTATTTATATCCCGCCCTCTCCAGCCGAAGCCGGGCTCAGGGCGGCTAACAACGATCAAATAATCAAACAATCAAATAATCCAACATTCTAAAAACATTTCATTATAAAAATTAATTTAAATCAAATTAATGGCAACCGTTAAGCAAAATTCTGTGCATATTGCCAGAGGAGGGAGTCAGGCTGCGCCCTGACCAAAGGCCTGGTGGAACAACTCTGTCTTGCAGGCCCTGCGGAAAGATGTCAGGTCCCGCAGGGCCCTAGTCTCTTGTGACAGAGCGTTCCACCAGATTGGAGCCGCAGCCGAGAAAGCCCTGGCTCTAGTTGAGGCCAGCCTAACCTCTCTGTGGCCTGGGACCTTCAAGATGTTTTTATTTGCAGACCGTAGGTTCCTCTGTGGGGCATACCAGGAGAGGTGGTCCCGGAGGTACGAGGGTCCTAGGCCGTATAGGGCTTTAAAGGTTAAAACCAGCACCTTAAACCTGATCCTGTACTCCACCGGGAGCCAGTGCAGCTGGTATAGTACCGGATGAATGTGATCTTGCAGCGAAGACCCCATAAGGAGTCTCGCCACGGCATTCTGCACCCGCTGGCGTTTCTGGGTCAGTCTCAAGGGCAGCCCCACGTCTAGCGAGTTACAATAATCCAGTCTGGAGGTGACCGTCGCGTGGATCACAGTGGCTAGGTCAGGGCGAGAGAGATAAGGGGCCAACTGCTTAGCTTGGCAGAGATGAAAAAATGCCGCCTTTGTTATAGCTGTAATCTGCGCCTCCATAGAGAGGGAGGCATAGAAGATTACACCCAAACTCTTAACGGACGGTGCTGGCACTAATTGCACCCCCGCAAGAGATGGGAGTTGCCCCCTCAATCCCATATCGTCCCGTCCCAGCCAGAGGACCTCTGTCTTCGAAGGATTTAACTTCAACCGGCTCCCACATAACCATCCAGCC